CATCCAGTGCAACACACAGTTTCAACAAGGTAGTGGAGACTTGAACCAGCACCTCCCATCCCCACATTCTGGGGATTGAACCTAGAATCTCAGATGTGCTAAGCCTGTGCTCTACTACTGAGCCATACTCCAAGCCAAACCAGAGTTTTGTAAATGGGGGGAAAAAAGATATAAAGCAATTTAAAAACCACAGAAGTAACTGAAATTCTTCACTGTGTTGTTACTCTGTTGTAATTTTTTCTTTGTTTTTAGGATTATTGAAAATGTTAAGCAGGTTGCAGTAGTGCACTTGGGAAGCTGAAGCAGGAGGATCCCAAGTTCTAGGCCAGCCTTGTAAATTTAGCAAGACTTTCTCTCAAAACAAAATGAAAAAGAGCTGGGAATGTAACTCAGTGATAGAGTGTTTGCCTTGAATTAGTGAGGTCCTTAATTCACAGTACTGCAGGAAAGAAAAGAAAAAATATTATCTCAAATAGTACTTCTTTTTTAAAAAGGAATCTCACATGTAGAATGTGACTGCATAATTATAATGCTGAATAGTTTTATGATAAGCATCAGATTGATGTGTATTAGTTTATTTGCATCATTTTAATAGCAAAGACTCAGACAAATCTTAGTAGGGAAGTAGTTATATAAAAAATGATAAATGTACTATATACTAGAATGCAATATTAAGTAGAATGAAGTACATGTTGTACATACATAGAAAGATCACCAACATCTTAAGTTAAAAAAGTACAGAACAATATGTATGCTATCATCACATTCATGTATTTTTTTTTTTTTAAGCCCTCTACACTGTGTACATCAAGGTTTGTAAATGTAGAAAAGTTCATAGCTAAAGGACAGGCATGATGTGTATGAGAAAGGGATTATTGGAACCTGTGCAGAAGTAGAAATGATTTTCATACTACATTCTATAGCATTTGTACTGTTTAAGTCTTTAATAATATGTAACCTGCATTATAAGAAAAAATAATTTAAAGCTAAGCGGCACTGTAGATGGCTTTTAAGATTCAGAAAGTATTAAATTTAGGGAATGAATTTGAAACTTATCACTAAGAGGTTACAATGTATGGGTCCCAGAATGTTGAAGCTGTCAATGAAAAAGTGACAAAGATCTTTTATTCATAAATACATAAATTGAGCCAGACTTAGCTAATACCTTGACTAGTCAATTAAGTTATATTCAGGTTTAACAGTCTTTATTTGGAACCAGATTGCTTACAACGAGAGTAGGTCTGAGAGTAGGTTGCCTATGAAATTTTTTATGCAGGGTGTTCATAGTGCTTTTATGTCACGTAGTTTTAGTTGCTATTTCTAAAAATGATACCTGTAGGTACAAGAATCTGCTTTAATAAACTATATACTGTTAATAAGAAAACTTACTCTCTGAAAAAGCATGCTGATTTGCAGGTAGAAAATCTCCTATGAGTACAACTACTTTGTGTAGTATTGGATTAATTACCAGAGATTGACCTTTTTAGACTTTGTAGTTTCCTTAATCACAAGTGTTTATTGGGAAGTTTTTGTTTCTTTTCTTGTAGTGGTAGGTATTGAATGCAGGACCTCATGCTTACTGGGGAAATGCTCTGCCACTGAGCTATATCTTCAGTCCTTATTCATTGGTAAATTTGATAAGACAAGTCAAAGGCCTAAAAATAAGGGTAATTAGTGATTTTTGTTCTTATTGTTGTTGTTGTTGTTGTTAAAATATATATTTTTTTAGTTGTAGATGGACAAAATGCCTTTATTTTATTTGTTTATTTTTATGTGTTGCTGAGGATCGAACCCACTGTCTCAGGCATACTAGGCAAGTGATCTACAACTGAGCTATAGCCCCAGCCCTAGTGATTTCTGTTCTTATAAGCACCATTTTGAGTATGAATGCCTTCCTGTGAACACATCCTACATGCTTAATTAGCTGGTTATTTGCTATTGTTATATTTTCCGGGCCATCCCAAAATTGCAGATAACCTAGCAAGTGGACTGTCTTGGGCCAGTAGTGCTGTTAAGGGGCAGGTCTGTAAAACTGACAGATTCAACTCCTTAGTTCCCATTTTCCTAACTAGATATGGCTTAGCTAATCCCCTTTCTTCATATACCTTTATTACTTTGATCTTAGAAAATTTCTCTACACATGTCATGGTATCCTTTCATCCTTTTCTTCCTTTCGGTTCCTTCCTAGATAATGTCAGGAAAAACATGTCTTGTTTTTTTTGCTTCCTTTAATCCTCTTCTTTTCTTTTACCAATAGCAAACCAAATAATAAAGATTGAAATGATTATTTGTAAAAGAGGAAACAGGTTTGAGTTGGAACTTGATATATGTGTTTCACTGAACCTAAGATGACACTGATTGGGAAATGCATCATTATCTGAACTGAAAAGAAAGAAAATATGCATATCTCTAAAGCTGGAGAAAGTGTTTTGAATATGCTTTCAAAATAACTAGTTCAGTTATCTGATTGTCTTTACCTTAAACCAGTCATGAATCTTAGTGTTGCTAATAGGGAAACAGCAAACAATATACATATATAGCCCTGGAAACCATTCTGCTCTTGATTGAGTTTTTTTTTTAAATATATTTTTTATGGAGATAGTATCCTTATTTATTTATTTTTATGTGGTACTAAGAAACAAACCCAGTGCCTCACACGTGGGAGGCAAGCACTCTGCCACTGAGCTACAGCCCCAGCCCCTTGATTGAGTTTTTCGTCTAATTCAATTAAGCCTATAGACTTTCCTCCAGGTTACAGGGAATACAAAGGATAGGAGAACTCCTTTATCCAAACTTTGCGGAAACAATTAGATCCATCCTGAACCGTGATACATTCAACAAGAAAATTGGCCCTGCCCTCTTTTGGGGAAAATGGAGCAGTTAGGGAGAGACTATTCCAGATTCAAATGTGAGTTATGATTCTTATTGAATCCTAGAATAAACAACTAGCTGTAAAAGACATATATATGTTTTTGATAATAGGGAAAATTTGGGAAGTTGTATTTTTTTGGTACTGGAGACTGGATCCCAGACCTTGAGTTTAACACTACCCATACCTGCTACCACTGTGTCCTATCTCTGAGCTACATCCCAAACCCTTTTTAAATTTTATTTTGGACAGGGTCTTGTTAAGTTTACCAATTTAGGTGATGATGATCTCTTAGGAGTGATAACATTGTGGTTTTATAGAAAAATGTTAATATTTTGTTACTTTGCTATTATTAATCTTTAATAATGTACTGTGAAAATTAATTTGGTAGGTACGATGTATGCAAACAAAATCATGTAAATTATTTAACAAAAAAATGAGGCCCAGAAGAGAAGTATAGTCTGTAGAGATGTTAAAAAGTGTTCAAACTGAAAGCAGGGAATAGTAGGAGGGCGTGCCTGTATTCCAGCAACTCAGGAGACTCAGGAGGAGAAGCACAAGTTCAAGGCCAGCCTTGGCAATTTAACAAGACCCTGTCCAAAATAAAATTTAAAAAAAATTTGGGATGTGGCTCAGAGGTAGGATACGGTGGTAGCAGGTATGGGTAGTGTTAAATTCAAGGCCTGGGGTCCAGCCTCCAGTACCACCAAAAAAAGGGAGGTCTAATGGATCATGAATGTCTCCAAAGCAATCTCAGAAGAAATCTCAGAATATCAAGCTGGATGGGGATTGTAGTTATTATCCTCAAATATCAGAGGTAGGAAATATTAGACCTGATTTACACCCCACATAATAGATGTTGTTAAATCTGTCATGGTTTTCCTTCCTATTCAGGAAATAGGGCCACTGAATCCTTTTCATTGATAGTTTGCAGCCACAACCAGTTAATAATTTGTTGGCATCTGCTGTGAAACCTGTTGGTTACCATTTCAAAGCTGTTCATTTCACAGAAGGGGAAGCTTAGTCAGGGCAGTAGAGTGGAAAACTTTGGGAATACACATGAATTAAAGGAATTAATAGGATTTCTTCAACCCAAGAGTACTTTTTAATGAGGTAACAAATGTTTGGTATGAATTTAATTAGTTTATGAAGTAATTAAAATTTTATAAGTTGGGGGAGGTTGGGTATCAATTTAGAAGATCTTTTTGCTGTTTTTGAAAAATGTACTTAGGATTTTAAGATTCATACATCTAACCAAATTAAACCAATTAAATTGGAGTTAGAAGTAATATCAAAGTAAAAGGCTGCTGTTGAGTTCATGTTTTTAAAACAGTGGATTTAATGCTAGCTACATCACTTTGAATCTTCTTTTTAATAAAATATTGAGTCTGTAACTCACCTTAAAAAGTTTATTTTTAGGGGCTGGGGATGTGGCTCAAGTGGTAGCGCGCTCGCCTGTCCCGGGTTCAATCCTCAGCACCACATACAAACAAAGATGTTGTGTCCACTGAAAACTAAAAGAAAATAAATATTAAAAAATTCTCTCTCTCTCTCTCTTTTAAAAAAAAAAAAGTTTATTTTAGGTGGGAGCAGGGGCACATTCGTGTAGTTCCAGCTACTTGGGAAGCTGAGGCAGGAGGATCACTTGATCCCAGTAGTTTGAGGCCAGTCTGAGCAACATAGTAAGACACCATCTCTTAAAAACAAAAAATCCCAAGTCCCCAGTTTGTTTTATATAATTAGCCTTTAAATTATTTTAACAAATTGGTGTTAAATCATTGTATTTCATTTTTAATCTTCAAATGTATTACTTTTTTTGAGGGGGGTACCAGGGATTGAACTCAGGGGCACTCAACCACTGAGCCATATACTCAGCCCTATTTTGTATTTTATTTAGAGTCAGGGTCTCACTGAGTTGCTTAGTGTCTCACAGTTGCTGAGGCTGGCTTTGAACTTGAGATCTTCCTGCTTCAGCCTCTCAAATAGCTAGTATTACAGGTTTCTGGCACTATGCCTGGATGATTTTTTTGAAAACAAAATCTAGCTTCACATTTTTGAACATCCCAGGCATAATTATGTCAATTTTAATTTATTAATCAGAATTTTCCATTAAATATTTGTTTGTTTGCAGGTATATTTGCATACTTAAACTACCATGTTCCTCGCACAAGACGAGAAATATTGGAGACCCTAATCAAAGGCCTTCAGAGATTAGAATACAGAGGATATGATTCTGCAGGTATTTCCTTCTTAAAAAATATGGGTTTTGCATGATTCTTGATCGAAATAGGGTGTTTTTATTATTATTTATTATTTTTATTTATTATTATTTTTTATATTTATATTTAATGGCTATTTTTAAAAAATTTTATGAATCCAACTCTGAAGAATTTTTATATTCTATCATATTTAAAAGGGTTGTTTATATAATTATTAACAGTGTTTCTATAAAAACAAATCATATGGTACAGCTTCATGGGAACAGAATTGTTGATTTTAATAAAATATTGAGTCTGTAACTCACCTTAAAAAGTTTAAGATTTACTGTATAAATCTTTTCTTTCCTATAACTTTCTTTTTCTCCATGGATCCATGCTTTATCATATAAACTGATCTGAGATTTTTCTATTTTATATACATGGCAAACCAAATAAAGATAACTTTCTGGCAACTTATGTTTGACTTTAGTTCCCCCTTATGTTGAGGGTCCACAAGACCGCCCTCAGATTCCATGCTTCCTTAGGATGGCTCATGGTTGTGATTTATTATAGCAAAAGAATACAAAGCAAAGGGATAAGGTATGTGAGGTGAAGTCTAGAGGAAACCAGACACAACAAGCTTCCAAGAGTTTTATGGTGGAGTCACACAGGATGCCCTTGATTTTTCTAGCAACAATTTGTGACAACACATGTGAAAAGTCTATCAGGGAAGGTCATTAGTGACTCAGTGTCCAAGGTTTTTTGTTGGGAGGTGGTCACATAAGCTTCAATTGTCTAATTCTCAACTCCCAGAAGAAAAGCAGATGTTCTGCATAAGCTACATTGTTTGCATGAGTAGTTTAGGCACTGCAAGCCACTCTTACTCCATCAGGTGGCAAGAATCCTGAAATGCACATTCTCAAATGCCAGCCACATGCCACCTTGAGAGCAGGCCTTCCTAAGGATAGCAGGGTTAGACCTCTTTTCTGTACACTTAACATTGCTACATGGAATGGGCATTTATCTTCCTTGACTTCCCTTAGTAATAGAAAGTCAACTCCTTGCTTACTTTATTCTTGAAATCCTCCTTTCTTAGCTTTTCTGACAATGTATCTTTTCATATAGATGCTGATCATTTATTTTCTGTCAGTTTTAGAGACTCCTTCTGTCTATTGCTTAAATATGAATATTCTGTAAGATTCTTCCCTTGGCTCACTGGTGGGTGAGCTCTGATTACATCAACTTCCTGTGTGTTGGTGATTTAGAATCTGCATGTATTTTTAATCCAGGTGTATTTCCCAAGTTGCCAGAAAACCTGTGTTTCCAGCTGCCTCCTAGAAATTTTTTCTGGACAGATGACAGTATTACGAACTTTGTATATTCAGAATTGAACTGAATACATAGCACTTCTCACCCACTCCATTCTGTTCTGTGTCCCTTTTATCAATAATCATTCAAAAAGTTCTTTGAGCCTAAGTGGTGTCCTAGAATTCTCCTTTCTCACCTCATATTCAGGGTATTCTGTTTCTCAGTATCCCTATCTTCATTGCCACTATTTAATTCAGGCTCTCTTTATTTTTGCTTTGCTGCAACTGTATCTTCTGGTAGCTGCTTTATCCTTTTTCTCCCTCTCCATCTCATCCTCTACACCATTTCCAGAGAAAATTTATCAAATGTTTTTGCCATATTATTTCCCATTTTTGCCATTATTATTTCTCTGCTTGAAATGAGTGGTTTCCCAGTACCATTAGGGCAATTTTTTTTTTCAAATTCCTTAGCAATTTAAGTAGAATCTCTAGAAATGCTTTTTAAAATAATATCTATTTTTTAGTTGTCGTTGGACACAATATCTTTATTTATTTATTTTATGTGGTGCTGAGGATCGAACCCAGGGCCTCGCCTGTGCTAGGCAAGCGCTCTACTGCTGAGCCACGACCCCAGCCCCTCTAGAAATGCTTTCTTGACCTTCCCTCCTTATCTGCCTTCTAAGGCATATGCCCCTCTTCTCCATTTCTCCATTGTGTTCCAATCACAACCTGTAGTACTTTTATTATAACTTAAATACACTGTTTTCCTTATCTATCTTTTTAACAATCTTTGAAGTTTGAGTACAGAAACCGAAGTCATTTTCTTTTGTTTTGATACTGGGAATTGAACCCAGGCCTTGTGTATGCTAGGCAAGCTCTCTACCCCTGAGCTACTACACCTCCAGCCTTGTTTTCATTTTTGTGTCAAGCAGCTATCATGTTATTTGACACCTAATATGTTTTTAGTAAATGTTAAATTGATAAATGAATTATTTGAAAATGTAATAATTTTAAATTAAGAATTTTGCTTCATATTGATAATCTTGGATATAGCCAATGTCTAAATCTTGTTCTGTTTCTTTGTGTCTTAGGTGTGGGTGTTGATGGAGGCAATGACAAAGATTGGGAAGCCAATGCCTGCAAAATTCAACTCATTAAGAAGAAAGGAAAAGTTAAGGCATTGGATGAAGAAGTTCACAGTAATGTACTTAGTTTGATTTTTGCCCCTCTCCCCACTAAATACCGCATATTTTGGAACCCATTTTGAGGATAATGATTCTTAAAGTTGAAGCAAGGGAAGAAAAGTTCTTTTGTTACTATTTGGATTGGCTTTAAATTGTACATGAGCTTTAAAAATGATCATAACAACTAGGAAAGGAAAGTAGTTACATAGGGTTCAGAGCAAGCTCAGTGTCTTAAAATGAAGTAGCTTCAGAACTGCCATACCTGAGAAAGGAAGGGCTATTTGTAGGACAAAAGCTGTTTTTAGTGGTGCCCTTGTTCATGTGTCTTCACTTGGTGGTTTTCACTTTACTTAATAATGGCCCCAAAACATAAGAGTAATGATGCTGACAATTCAAACATACTAAAGAGAAGCCATGAAATACTTTTTTGATAAAAGATGTTAGTTTTCTCCTTAACAAAAAAAGGAAAGTCGTAAGCAGAGGTTGCTAACATCTATAGTAAGGATGAATCTGTGAAATTATGAAGAAGAAAAGAGAAATTTGTGCCAGTTTTTCTGTCACTCCTCAAACTGCAAAAATTATGGCCATAGTGTATGATAAGTGCTTAGTTAAGATAGAAAAGGTATTAAGTTTGTGTGTCATGTATATATAGGAAAACACATGGTATATATAGGGTTTGGTACTATCTGCAATATCAGCCATCCACAGGGTGGGTGAGATGGGAGGAACGCTTGAAATCTATCCCTTATTGACAAAGTGGAACTACTGTATATTTTTCTGCAGAGGTGCAGAGGTGCAGAGGTGGTGTACCAGGGATTGAACTCAGGAACACTGGACCACTGAGCCACATCCCCAGCCCTATTTTGTATTTTATTTAGAGACAGGGTCTCACTGAGTTGCTTAGTGCCTCACTATGGCTGAGGCTGGCTTTAAACTCATGATCCTCCTGTCTCAGTTTCCTGAGTTGTTGGGATTACAGGCATGTGCCACCTTGCCTGGCTGTATAATTTAATATAGCTTCTAGCATTTCTGCAGCATTATTTTTTTAAATATGTAGTTTTTTTTTAATTAGAGCATTGTAATTATACATAGTATTTTGGTTCATTTTGACAAAATAACACATGTAGGGATTTAATTTCAATTCTTGTTACCCCTTTTCCCCCTCCCCTTTATCCCCCTATTCTCCCTTCTGTGTTGATCTTTCTTTTACTCCTTTATTCATTTATTTTTGATTGGTATATTCTACATATAAAGGTGAAATACCCTTTGAACATTTATATTTGTATATAATATGATTTTCTTAAATTCATTCCATATTTCTTCCTTTTTCCAATTCTTTCCTCCCTCCCTCTTGTTCTCCTTGTGTTCCACTGATCTTCCCCTTATCTTTATGATACCTTGCCCCCTCCCCTACAGCCCCCTCCCCCATTGTCTTCTTTCTCTTATTTTGTTCCAGCTTTCACATGAAAGAAAACACTGGACTCTGATTTTTCTGAGTCTGGCTTATTTCATTTAGCATGACTTTCTCCATTTCCATCCATTTACCGGCAAACACTGTTATTTTATCTTACTTATGGCTGAGTAAAACTCCTGTTGTGTATATTATATCATATTTTTGATCGTTCATCTATTGACACACATTGGGGTTGATTCCATAATTAGTGATTGTGAATTATGCTGTTGTAAACATTGAAGTAGCTGTACCTGTATGTTGATTTTAGTTCATTTGGATTAATACCAGAGAGTGGAATAGCTGGATCATATGGTAGTTTCATTCCTAAATTTTTGAGGAATCTCTGCGCGTCTTTCCATAGTAATTGTACTAATTTGCAGTCCCACCAACAATGTATGAATGTGTTTTTCTCCACATGCTCACCAGAGTTTATTATTTTTTTGTGTTTTTGATAATTGCTACTTTAACTAGAGTAAGATGAAATTTTAGTACCTTTTTTTTTTTTTTGGTGATGCTGGGGATTGAACACCAGGCATTATGCCTGTGAGACAGGCACTTTGCCAACTGAATTATGTCCCCAGCCCTTTAGTGTAGTTTTGATGTGCATTTCTCTGATTGCTAGATATGTTAAACATTTTTTTCATATATTTCTATTTGTGTTTCTTCTTTTGAGAAATGCCTGTTTAGTTTTTTTTTTTTTTTGACCATTTATCAATTGGGTTATTTGTGTGTTTTTTTTTTTTGGCATTGACTTCTTATATACTTTGGATATTAATTGCCTGTCAGAGGAGTAGCTGGCAAAGATTTTTTTCTTGTTCTATAGGCTCTCTATGTTCTTGATCACTTCCTTTGCTATGAAGATGCTATTTAATTTGATGGCCATTCCACTTGTTGCTTCTTGGTTTTATTTCTTGAGCTTTAGGGGTCAAACTTGGAATGGAACCACCATTTGACCCTGTTATCCTACACCTCAGTTTATACCTGAAGGACTTAAAATTGACATACTACAGTGATACAGTCACTTCAGTGTTTATGGCAGCTAAGTTCACAATAGCCAAGCCCTCCTAATTGGAATAAGTTATACTTATTCTATGTATGTATAATATTTCAAAATATACTCTACTGTCATGTTTTTAAAAAAAAGGCTGTCTTTTCTCCAGCATATTTTTTTGGCACCTTTGTCAGATATCAGATAGTTGTAAGTATGTGGGTTTGTCTCTCTGTCTTCTATTCTATTCCATAGATCTTCACATCTATTTTGATGTCAATACCATGCTGTTTTTACTACTATAACTCTGTAGTATAATTTGAGATTCAGTCTTGGGATACTTCCTACATCACTTTTCTTGTTCAGAATAGCTTTGGCTATTCTGGGTCTCTTATTCTTTCAAATAAATTTAAAGACTGTTTTTTATAGTTCTGTGAAGAATATCATTGGTATTTCGATGGGGATTGTATTGAATCTGTATATTGCTTTTGATAATATGGCCATTTTGACAGTATTAATTCTACCTATCCAAAAACATGGGAGGTCTTTCCATCTTTTGAGGTAAGGTTTTCTGTGATTTCTTCCTTCAGTGTTTTCATTGTAGAGTTCTTTCACTTTCTTGGTTAGATTAATGCCCAGATTTTTTTTTTTTTCCAGGTTATTGTGAAAGGGATGGTTTTCCCTGATTTCTTTCTCAGCTGAATTACTATTGGAGTATAGAAATGTTACTGATTTATGAGTGTTGATCTTGTATTCTACTACTTTGCTGAATTAATTTATCAGCTCTAGAAGTCTTCTGGTGGATTTTTTTTGGGGTCTTCTAGATATAGGATCATGTTGTCAGCAAACAATTATGGTTTGACTTCTTTTTTCAATTTGAATCCCTATAGTTTCCTTCTCTTGCCTGATTACTTTGGCTGGAGTTTCGAGAACTCTATTAAATAGGAGTGGTGGGAGTGGACACCATTATCTTATTCCTGATTTTAGAGGAAAACCTTTCAGTTTTCTCTATTCAGTATGATGTTGGCTTTGGGTTTGTCATATATAGCCTTTATAATCTTGAGATATGTTTCCCTTATACCTATTTTCTCCAGTGTTTTTAACATGAATGGTTGTCTGTAGCATTATTTAATACTGGGTTTTTTTATTTTATCTTCTTCAGAACAACAAGATATGGATTTGGATATAGAATTTGATGTACACCTTGGAATAGCTCATACCCGTTGGGCAACACATGGAGAACCCAATCCTGTCAATAGCCACCCCCAGCGCTCTGATAAAAATAATGGTATGAACATATTCTGTGTGCTTTGAATGATTATAGAGGGTCAATAATGGGAGGAAGAATGAAGGCTCATATGTTTTTGTTATCTTAATTTGGAGAATTTCAGATATATTCAGAAATAGAGAGCATATAAAACCTGATACTTCTATTTCCCAGCTTTAACATTTATGCAGAACATGACCAATTAAGTTTATTTTTTGTTTTGAAAGTCAATAGATATCATATTGTAGTTTGATGACTCTTCAGTATTTATTTTTTGAGGTACTAGATGTTAAACCTAGTGCTTCACACATGCTAGGCAAGTGCTCTACCACTGAACTACATCCCAACTTTTAAAATTTTGTTTTGAGCTGGTCTCATTAAGTTGCCCAGGCTGGCCTTGGATTTGTGGTGCTTTTGCCTCAGCCTCCTTGGTACCTGGGATTACAGGTGTGTACCACTGTCCCTGTAGATAGACACACACACACACATTTATATTTATAAATATATATACATTTGCTTTTGATACTGGGGATTGAACCCAGGGGCACAGGGGCACTTTACCACTGTCTTATATCCCTATTCCTTTTTTTTAAAAAATTATTTTTATTTGTTTATTTTTATGTGGTACTAGGGACCGAACCCAGGGCCTCACGCATGCGAGGCAAGCGCTCTACCACTGAGCTACAACTCTAGCCCCATCCCCATGCCTTTTTATTTTTTATTTTGAGATAGAGTTTACTAAGTTGCTTAGGGCCTTGCTAAGTTGCTGAGGCTGCCCTCGGACTTGCATTTCTCTTCCCACATCATTGGGATTACAGTGACCATGTCTACAGTGCCTGTATATTTTGTATAAATTGGTATGATATTTGTTTTCCTCTGGAGGTACAAAATGTTTTTCTTTTTGTGCTGTTAGCAGCCATTGATGATCATTGCCATAATTAATTTGTGTAAAATTTAAAGATAAAACAGTGTGGTTTTAAATTTCCAATTCAGGTCCAGGGATATAAGGTTTTTTACTGAATCTCCTTGATCTGATATCTGTTTTTCCTTTCAAGCATGCTTAACCACTCTCAACATCTGCAATATCTTTATTTAATTTACCCCCTGGTATTCATAATAACAATAATAATACCAACATGACCATAACAGTATGTTTACTGAAAACTCTTTTTCTTTAAATAATTTTTTAGTTGTCAATGGACTTTATTTTATTTATTTATATGTGGTGATAAGAATTGAACCCAGTGCCTCACACATGCTAGACAAGCACTCTACCACTGAGCCACAACCCCAGTGCTGAAAACTCTTATTTAAAACTTTTAAAATTATTGTCATTATCCTTAGGGATGTATAATTAAATTAGTGTGTTTTAGGGTCATTGGAACAGTGTCTCTATATGGTTGTGCTACCAGTTGGTTATAGCATTATGTTAATATATTTAATTTAGTTTTTAGGAATTTATTTTCTTAGCTGGGTGCAGTGGTGCATGCCTATAATCACAGCTACTCAGGAGCCTGAGGCAGGAGGACCAGAAGTTTGAGGTCTACATGGGCAGTTCAGCAAGACCCATTCTCAAAATAAAATACAAAGGGCTGTGGACATAGCTTACTAGTAGAGCACTTGCATAGAATGTGCAAGGCCCTGGGTTTGTTTTTATTTCCCCAGTGCTGGAAAAAAAATAATCTTATTAAAATTATTTAATATTTTGAAACCACATCGGTAGAACAAAGCATATTAAAAGAAGTCTAGGGGCTTCTGGAATAGAAAGAATGCATGTTTAATATGTGTGAGGCCTTGGGGTTCAATCCTCGGCACCAAAAAAGAAGTCTTAACTCTATATTGTAATTTTTTTTTTTTTTGTGATGGTGCTTAGAATAAAACCCAGGACCTTATGCATGCTTGACAAGTGTATATTAGTGAGCAATACACCAGTTCTTTAAACAGTTTTTTTAAGTCTGTTCTTCCCTTTAAAATGTAAGCAAATGCATATAGTTGAGTATGTGTGTGTGTATGTTCTTTTTGATTTTATAATTTAATTGAGAAGCTGCCTATTAAGTTTTCTGTGTCTCAATAATATGGAAATGAATTCTAGTGTTAGCAAACACTCAGATTTTTAACACTGAGAAGACCTTTATAAAAGAGTCCTAAAAAGTTGTATCTAAATTGTGTTTTGAGATTTTGGCTTTAAGTTAAGGCTTTTTGTCAACTACTTATGATTCTATGTTCTAACATTTAATTTTTTCTTACATTTATTTTTATAGTTGATATCATCTACTAAATGTCTAATGAAAGTATTTTTTAGTTTATAATGCATTTTAGTTCAGGTTCATTTACTATCAAACCCAGATGTCAAATCTTTAGGTATATTAAAAACATTATGATGATGTCATAAAAAATTAGATTTGGTCAGAAACCAGTGACCTGCTAGTAGTCACAGCTGATTTAGGGAGACTTGAGTCAGGAGAATCACTTGAGCTCAGGAGTTTGAGACAAACCTCAAAAACATAGTGAGACCCCATCTCAAAAAGGAGGAAAAAAAAATTGGATTTAGTAATTTTTCTCCTGACATGTGAACTTTAATAAATCCACATGGGTAGTTTTACATACTCTGCCAGTGGCTACAAATAATGTTATTGACTCTTGATTATTTATTCTGACATTTTTAAAAGTTATTTAGTAAGAATAGGTTAAAATGATTCCCAAATCATATTTACTTGCTCTTGGAATGATATTTTGTCAATTTTTATGTGACAGTCCAGGAATGATCAGGATCTCAGGCAAGTAAATTTAACTATGAAACTGAATAACTGGGCTGGGGTTGTGGCTCAGTGGTAGAGTGCTTGCTTAGCACGCGGGAAGCCCTGGGTTGATCCTCAGCACCACATAAAAATAACTAAATAAAATAAAGGTATTGTGTCCAACTACAACTAAAATAAATAAATAAACAAATACTTTTAAAAAACCTGAATAACTATCTGGTTATTCTTGGTGAGTTTCTTAACTTTAGATCTTTTAACTCAGAGTAAATCAGATGATTGTAGTAGTTTTGAAAGGCCTTTTCTTTAAATTTATACTGAGAAAAGAATGAACTGAGAAATGAGAATGAGTTAATTAGTTCAGGGGCTGGGGTTGTGGCTCAGAGGTAGAGCACTTGTGTACCATGAGTGAGACATTGGGTTCGATCCTCAGCACCACATAAAAATAAAATAAAGATATTATGTCCACCTATAACTAAAAAATAAATATTAAAAAAAAGAGTTAATTAGTTCAGCTTTCTCAGTTTACAAATGAGGAAGCAGGCCCAGTAAGCTTTCTCCTTTCGCCTGGTAGTATGGGATAGTAATTTAGCCACAACTGAAATTAATGTCTTTAGAATTCCAGTTTATTATTGTTTTCTTGCTATATGCACTATCCTAGCACAATATACTCCTGCTAAGCCACATAATACTGCTAATCTACCTGGTGATAATCTAATAATGAGAAATAGATAATACTTGATTCCACCAAGAAGTATAGACTTAAGAAAAATCTGTTCATAATAATAGTTAATTATAGCATTTATCAAACTTTTCATCATCACTGCTTTTATTTATATCTTTTAGAATTTATTGTTATTCATAATGGAATCATCACCAACTACAAGGACTTGAAAAAGTTTTTGGTAAGTAAAGTCACCTCAAAAGACACTGTCTTCTAGAATATCTCTAGATCAGTGAGATTATTTCTTAGGATGTGCAACACCATCTTAGTATGATCAGATAATTTCTAAGACAGTTTCAAGAGTTTGATGGTTTATTGACTGGAACAATTCTGTTTTCCTATATGAGAAGGCAATAATTATTTGACTTTATTATAAGTGACCAAACTTTAAATAAAATTGTAGTTTTGAGGGTTGGTAGCTTAGTGGTAAAGTGTTTGCTTAGCATTCACAAGGTGCTGGGTTTGATCCCTGGCAATGCAAAAATTTAAAAAAAAATTTTTTTAAAGAGGTTTTTTTCTGGTACATCTTTGCTATGAAAGTCCCTATTTGATATATTTGTAAAAATTCTAGTACATATAACAAGAGCCAGTAAAGATTAAATGAAAGATCCTTGTCCTAACTAGCCATATGTTCTATTATAATGATTCATACTGGTGACCTTCTCAGGCTTATCCAATTGAGCTTTCTGTAGTGATGGAAACATTTTTTGTTTTTTCTTTTGCAGTAACCACCATCCACATTAGACTGTTGACCTGGTGCGACTGAGAAATTGAATTTTAAATTTTATTTAAATTTAGATAGCCACATATAGCTCATGACTATTTTATTTTATTATACCATCATCTAAAAAAGAACTGGCATATTCATTATAAAACTGGTGTTTTGGGCTGGGGATGTGGCTCAAGCGGTAACAGGCTTGCCTGGCATGCGCCGGGCGCTGGGTTTGATCCTCAGCACCACATAAAATAAAAAATGAAGATGTTGTATCCACCGAAAACTGAAAAATAAATATTAAAAAATTCTCCCTCTCTCTTCTCTCTCTGTCTCTCTCTTTAAAAAAGAAAAAGAAAAACTGGTGTTTTAAGTGTTACATATTTCATTATATTTTAATTATTTAAAATTTATTTTAATTCGTGTGGCATATATTTATATAAATTAAGTTATATGTTCAGTTAATCAGAATACCATTTTATTTTGGATTCATTGTAATCAGATGAGCAATGAAATATGGTGTTAAAAATATTAAAAATTGGGTCTGGGATTGTGGCTCAGCGGTAGAGCATGGGTGGGACCCAGGTTCGATCTTTAGCACCACATAAAAATAAAGGCATTGTGTTGTGTTCATCTATACCTAAAAAAAATATTTAAAAAATATTAAAAATTAGTGAGATTTTTGAGGAAAAAATTCTGTAGAAAGGATTTGGATATCATATTTTCTTATTAAATGTATTTTTTTTCCCTCCTGCCCTTAGGAAAGCAAAGGCTATGACTTTGAATCTGAAACAGACACAGAAGCAATTGCCAAGCTTGTTAAGTACATGTATGACAACTGGGAAAGTCAAGATATCAGTTTTACTACCTTGGTGGAGAGAGTTATCCAACAATTGGTATTAAACCATACTTTTAAATCTAGTTATCCTAACATTGATCATGAGAAATTATTTAAATCTTATAAACAGGAACTATGCTAATTTATTATTTTTGGCTTTTATTTCCATATGCAAAACAATTCAACTTAAATAATTTTGAGATTGTTGTTTGACTTAGTGATTTGACTGCCTCCCTCAACTCTTAAAATTCTACTTATTTCACTGTAGTTTGGTGTAGTGAGATTGAAGAATAAGTTTGTCTGAAAACAGCATGCATGCACACTTGTACACATGACACATGCATATACACAGCACACATGGTAGAGAATTACCACTCTTTTGCTTCCAACCAATAATTTTAGCACAAGTACCTTCAGCAAAATGCAACCTTATTCTGGGATAACGTCTGCATGTCTCTCAGTCAGCATAATGGATTTTTTTTTTTTTCCTTTTGGGCACTTTTCCTTGGCCCTGTACCTCCATATGAACGTATTTTCCAGCCTAAGGAAAAAGCACTATTCTTTTGAATCCATCTCAGTTGCCCTAAGTAAAGACATCCAAGAGCCACAAAAGTCTAAGTCCATATTGATGCCTACATATATAACTCTAGCTTTCCCACTTAAAATCCCTTTCCTTCCCTAATATGATCCAACCCTTTCCTCCCACCCAAACTTTATGAAGTCTGTAGCAGAAGGAGTTAGGATGATGGTGAATTTCAAGGTTTGTTCCTTCCCTTTACCCATAGCAGAGTAGTGTGTCTTCTCACCCTTTTCTTCTTTTTACTGTATAATCTAGTTTGTGTTCTATAATGGTTTTTTGTTCTTCTACCTCAGGTTCTTCCTTTATCCATTCTTTAGACTCCGTACTTAGGAGGTTGGTTTGACAGGGTACAGTGGTGTGCAAGTTAATAATCATGATTGTATGTATTTACATTACTGATATCAAGGTCAAAAAGAATGAAAGTTAACAGTGGTTTACAATTACTAGGGTAAAGAATGGGTTTTGGATACTGAGCTTGGAATCTTTCCTTATTCTATCCTCCTGCTATTAATTTGTAGCATGGGAGATATGATGTATCTGTTGAGAAATGTTGGCAACGTATACAAAGGTGACTTTTTCGAATGGTCTGTTTTTGGAGCCATTATATATTAAGCATATTTTGAAAGTGGTCTTATTTTTAAAAGTTGGTCTTGTATATACCAAACCTCAGGACTGTTTGCCTGAAATTCAGGCTTCTTTATAAACTAGTCCTTGTGTGAATGAAAGAAGTCAGAATGTTTCAAGCATTTTGCATTTGGTAATTGATTATAAGTATTACTAATGTATTTTTTTCCCCATAGGAAGGTGCTTTTGCACTTGTATTTAAAAGTGTTCATTTTCCTGGGCAAGCAGTGGGCACAAGGTACATATAAATCTAATAATGACTAATAATAATTGTATGTATTTTGAAATATTTGAGGGACAGGGTTATTTTGTGAAGCCTGTAAGTGACTTTCCTTAGAGGTATTCATGTAAGTGTTTATTTTTCATGTATTCCTCCTTGTTTGTTGTTACATCACTCTCTGATTTAGCAGAATCCCTTAATAAAGTAAATGCATTTTGGCATTTATAATTGGCCTTTTGTCTTTTGGGTAGGTTAACTGTGTTTACTTTGTGAATTTGGATATTTAATATTCTCTAATTTCAGACTCAAAACTTCAGCTTTCTTCATATTTTTTAGAAATATATGTTCCAGATAGATTCCTAGAAAATTGTACCATCACTGCTTTTGCCAGGATATTTAAAACCAATCATGAAGTCTTTTTAAAACAGTGAGGAACCTTAAGATTTGGTGAGAGAGAGAAAGATCGATCTTTAATCTGAAATGAAAGGCAGGATGGCTGAAGAGATCATTATATATTGGTGTTCTGTGTAGAAGCAAAAGAAAAATTTCATTTAACATTAAAAAGAAAAATTTCAAGTATGGTGTTATAGAATAGAAATTGGCAACCTTTTTCTGGATTGGGCCAGACAGTAAATGCTTTAAGCTTTCTGTGTCATGTAGTCTCTTTTGTAGCTTCAGTATCGCTGTACTAGTATGACAGCAGCCGTACATTGTATGTGAAAGAATGGGTATGACTGGGTTCCAGTAACCTCTTATTAATACAATTTTAGTTTGTCAATTAAAAATAACAGAAAGAAATCCTTATTTATAGAAATAGACGAGCATGTCCTGTGGGTCTTAATTTGCAAACCCATTTCATTTCTTATATCTGAAGGGAAAATTAAAACATTTCTTGAAGAATATTGATTCATTAACTTTGAAGATTGCATTATTAATATATTATTATATTACTTATATATATTATTTGTAAAAATATTATTTATATTAGTATATTATTTGTAAAAATGGTTTAATTCTGACTTAACTTGATTTACAGACGAGGTAGCCCCCTGTTGATTGGTGTGCGGAGCGAACATAAGCTTTCTACTGATCACATTCCAATACTTTATAGAACAGGTAAAACTGCTCTTACATCATGCCAATGGGGAAAATGTGTAAATTGAGTGCAGTAAATATAAAGAATTTTTTCCTTAAATTGGAATAAATGCTTTTTTGCTCAAATTCATATGTACATATATATTTCTGTCTAGATGTAAAAAAGATTTGTTTTTGTGAGTTCTCTGACAAGTAGAATTATTTTTTCTGTTGTATATCCTTAGCTAGAACTCAGATTGGATCAAAATTCACACGGTGGGGATCACAGGGAGAAAGAGGTGGGAAATGCACTGTGCATGGATGGGGAGGAGTCTTATCCTCTTTTGTTCATTCTTTACTAATTCTTTGTTCTTGGAGTGAATGATTGTGCTGGGCCTCTAAAAATGTGCTTATTTTGTGGGGAACCATTTTGACATTTATTTTTCTAATTTGCAGAATATATTTTGTCTGTTTGCTTTTGGCATTTAGAAAACTGCTTTTAATAATTTGTTTTATTAAAATCTCTGAGATTTGAGAAAACAGCTGAAATCATAAAGTATTTTCTTCTGTTTTTTAAAATCATGTAGGATACCTCCTTATATTAGGGAAAAAAAACCCACTGTGTTCTACATTATTATAAATTGAACCTAAGAGTAGTTGTTTGAATAATTTAGCCTAGCTTTTAACTGAAAATACATTTAAGTTGTCTTTATTTTATGCATCAGTTTATTATCTAAAAATAATGTCATTTGATATTTTGATTGGCTTTATTTGAATTTGAAATAATTTTGTGTTTGAGGTTTACTTGAAATTTTTTTTTTGTATTGGGGATTGAAACCAGGGGTACCCTGAGCTGCATCCCCAGCCCCTGAGCTGCACCCTCAGCCCCTTTGTTCCATTAAATTTGAGACAGGGTCTGATTTAGTTGCCCAGGCCTGGCTTAAACTTGTGATCCTCCTGTTATAGCTTCCTGAGTTTTTGAGATTACAGATGTGTGCCACCATACCCATTGAGGTTTTATTTTTTTAATAGGACTTCTACCTATATGAACTCTGAACCATTTTATTGGTACAATTATATATAAAAGTGACAACCACAGTGTGCTGTATTATTGCTAAAAGCTTTCTATGTAAAAGATAGGGAATGGTAGTTTCAGGAAATTGAAATTTATACATTCTTGGTTTCTTGGAAAACATTTAGCAAAGAACTTTAAGCCCTTTTGCCTTTGATGGTGTCTACATTTGTTCTTTTATCTAGAGCAGAAAGTTATTTTCTTAAATGACCTCCCCAGTCTTGAGATGTTAGAAGTTCTTTTCTTCCCCTGCCACTTCCCCATTCCCCCATCCCTGTTCCCACTCCCTAGTCTGTCTTTTTTTTTTTTCTTTTTCGGTACTGGGGATTGAACTCAGGGGCACTTAACCACTGAGCCACATCCACAGTCCTTTTTTGTATTTTATTTAGAGACGGTTTCACTGAGTTGCTTAGAGCCTCACTAAGTTGCTGAGCTGGCCTTGAACTCATGTTTCTCCTGCCTCAGTCTTCTGACATGCAGGGATTACAGGCGTACGCCATTGCACCCCACTCCACTCTCTGGTCTTTCCAGAAGAAAAATATCTGCCAATGAGAATATATAATTTGGACCCAGAGTTCCAGATTTCTGTGAATAATTTTGCTTGTGTATATATATATTCTTTATATATTGTAAGTTGTCTTGGGTTATTTTTAGAAATAATGAAAAACATTGGTTAGTCTTAAGAAATTAGAAGAAAATTTTATAGATTATATTTGAGTAACTATTTCACTAGGTATAGGTAGATAATATGTGGCTTAGTGAGGCCTCTTACTGAAGGGGTTGTGTAAAGAGAGAACTCTGGGCTGCCTTTTAGATTTTCACCATTTTTTCACAGTGTAATTACTGACCATATAAAATTAAAGCCTCCTTTCTCTCTGCAGGACAGGGATGATAATTGTATTCCACTTCTACCAGATGAGATAATCAATACACGGGAAACATTTTGGATATTATAAAAGCTGTATAGGTGTTACATAAATAAAAAATTCTTTTTTAATATTGTGATTAATTGTACTTTTGTACATTATCAATATTTGTAGTGAAGCTCAACCCTATTATGACATTTTATATACAAAGCTAGTTTTATACTTTTTTAAATATAAGTGCTGGAATATCCTATTTATTTTGATTTTTTTTTTCTTTTTGTACTGGGGATTGAACTCAGGAGCACTTTACCATGGAGCTACAGCCCTAGTCCTTTTGTTTTTTATCTTGCCAAGTTGCTGAGGTTCTTGCTAAGTTATTGAATTTGTGATCCTCCTGCCTCAGTCTCCCAAGTTGTTAGGATTAGAGGCATGCACCACTGTGCATGGCTTTTTCTACTTGTCTTTAAGTTCACTTTTCTTTTTCCTTCCCAGGACCTTGTGCATGCTAGGCACACACTCTGTTACTGAGTTTCACTTGCAGTGCTTTCACTTTTCTTTAGATACAATAATATTCATTTTTTGATGGGCAGTTTCAAGAGTTTTGTCAAAGCAAACAGTTGTTTAATCACTACCATAATCAAGATGTACAACAGTACTCTTCTCTAGAGAGTTCCCTCAAGCTGTACCTTTGAAAACAATGGCAAGTACTGATATGTTACCTTTCCATAATGTTGTCTTTTTTAGGATGTTATATTATGCTTACTTTTTAAAGTTTGATATCTTCTCCTATTCTGAATTTAGGTGGGAGGAACTATTTCATTTTTTTTAAACCTTTATTTTATTTTTATGTGGTGCTGAGGCTCGAACCCTTGTGCGCTTTGCACGTGCTAGAGGAGCACTCTACCACTGAGCCACAACCCCAACTCCGAACTATTTAATTTTCATGCCTAAAATACACTAAATAATTACAGGTGGTGGAGAACTTTGGATATATGTTTTTAATAACTGTTATTTCCAAGTCTTTATATGTGCATTTTAGAAGATGAGTTTTTATAATCTGGCTATTGTGTCGATAGGTTATGAGGTCTACTATGTCCTGGAGAATGGAGCCTTTTTTTTTTTTTTTGGTCTTGAGTGTAATTATAGAGTCTTTAATACATTTTTTTTTCTACATGGGCTAATTTGTCAAACTTTAACATACTTCCTCATGTTCACTTTAGGTGTAAATAAACAAGAAAAAAAAAAACAACCTTATCTATCACTGACTTGACAAATTAAGTAGAGATGCCAGAATTTTGAAGTGCTAGAATTAAAAAGGTGCTAACATTACAAAGGGGCCATACTCTACCCTGACTTAAAAGAAGTATAAGAAAATACAATTTTAAGACAGGAGAGATTCTTGGCCTGTATTATTTCTTGTGTCTGATAGTAGGTCCCTTGTAGGATGTACCATAGTTAGAGAGATATGTCTTTGTTTTGTTTTTAAATCAGAATTAGTATAGACCACAACATGATTTGTTAGCTGATTTGCTATTGAAATCTAGAGAAGTTTGTTATGGGACAATGAAGATTAATTTGCCACTAATTATTATTCTATAGTTTTGATATTTTTAATGTAATTTTTGTGATAAATATAGGTCCACAAACTTACATGTATTAAGTCCATCACGTTTAGTGTGAGAAAAAGATTGAGATTAGTCTGTATTTATTTTTGATTTTTAAAAAAGTTGGTGGTATTAATGAATTATTGGATTTGAAAAGAAATATTACATTAAAAATTTTGTAATGTAGTACTATTATCTGCCACGCATTCTTTTATAGTTGCTATTTCACTCTACACTTTTGGTCTGTTCTTATTGCTTATTGCATGGAAATAAGGTATCTATCCGGCATTTAAAAGTTGCTGAAATAATTTTGTGTTGCTATGTTTTTTTTAAATTGTTGTTGTTATGTTGTTGATTTTGTAAAAAATTATGTATTTTTCTATATCAGGCATGATTTTCTACATATTTGCCAATTCACATTAACTGTGTGCTCTAGGCAAAGACAAGAAAGGAGGCTGCAATCTCTCTCGTGTGGACAGCACTACTTGCCTTTTCCCTGTTGAAGAAAAAGCAGTAGAATATTACTTTGCTTCTGATGCAAGGTGAGTTTCCTTAGTTGATTCACAGAGAATTTTTATTAAAACTTCTTATGTAAAGGAAATTCAGGAAGAAGTCATTTTGTAGAAGTCGAGTCACGCTGTATAAGAGAACTTTTTTATTTTTACAGTTCTAGAGGCGGAACCTCATGCATGCTAGGCAAGCACTTCATTGTTTTGCTTGCTTGCTTCCTTCCTTCCTTTTTTTTCATTACTGGGGAGTGAACTCTCAAGGCTTTGCTCATGCCAAGCAAGTGCTCTGTCACTGAACTATGTCTCTATGCCCAGGCAAGCACTTTACCAATGAGCTATACCCCATGCCTAAAATTTCCTTGATTAAAGTAGAGGTGACTTTTTTAAAAATCTCACTTCAAACCAGGTAGGTCAGTTTACAATATATATATGTATGTATGTATGTGTGTGTATATATATATATATATATATATATAAATTTTTTTTTTTTTTCAGACTTGTTCCAGTGTATTTACTTTCGAGCACTTGTGTTTTTTTTTTTTTTTTTTTTTTTTTTGGTCTTTCTTTCATGAGGCTTATTTAGGTTTTGTAGGGAGGAGAGATCTTAGATTAAAGAGTAGAATTAGCTTAGTTACTATCACAATTAATAGTATAGTTGCTGAACCATTGTATTTTAGTCTTTTTTCCTGTATTTTTTATTGGTGCATTATAGTTGTGCATAATGGTGGGATTTATTGTTACATATTTATACAGGTACACAGTGTAGCAATAGAATTTGGCCAGTATCATTGCCCAGTATTTCCCCATTCTGTAGTTTTCATCTTAATGTGGACACTCATTTTCTTATGTTTTTTTTCATTTGGAATGAACTTGGAGCATAATTATTTCTCTAAAGGATTAGTATTAAACTAAATTATTTTGAAAGAAAATGTGTTGCAATGTTTAGATTCATTTATAAATAAAATACTGTAGTAATGGGGGTAAAATGGAATTACTCAAATTGCCAGTAAGTATGTGATTTAGTCACTGAGCCTGAAGATAAGAGGCAATAATAAAAATGAGAAAATGATTCCATGTAGGACGACTTCAGGGAATATGTTATCTTAGTAAGAAAGCAAGCTTCACTGTTTTCTAATTTTTACAAATATGTAAGATGTGTAGTCAGTTGGTTTACTACAGAGTTGACAGTTACTGCTTAAAAAAATTGGAAATTGCAAAAGTATACCATTTTTTTCATTCATTCTTGCATTCTGTTGAACACTCTGAGCAAAGCCATGTGCTAGCCTCAGGAAATATGATAAAAATTAAAGTATTATTTACCCCTAATGAGTTCTTCCATAATGGAGGAGACAAATTTTAAACACCAATTACACAACCATCAAATTACCACTATGACAAAAGCTACAGAATACTTTTAACAGGGTGATACAGTCCTTTGTGGGTAGATTTTTGTCAAGGGGATGAAGCCTGAATGGAGAGTTAAGGGGAGAATAGGAATTAATTTGGTGAAGGGGTGAAGAAAAGAATGTTCATTCTCTACAGGTGGCTCATCCTATGAGAATTCAGGAGGGATGTGAGTATGGTTGGAATAGAGCATAAGAGGAATCTTGGTGGGAGAAAAGATTGGAGAAGAAGGTGTAGGGCTCATGGTAAGACATTTTGATGTTTTCCTAAGAGCCAGAGGGAAGTCATGAAGTGGTTTGTTGCGGGGGGAAGCATTTTGATCAGAGTTGCCTTTTGATATCAATTATGGCAGAAAAGGAGAACGTGTAGAGGAAGGTAAGAGAGAATGTGGGTGAACTAGTTAGGGTGCTGCAGTGGTAAGAGTAGATGGCAGCTAGTACTTGTTTATGACAATGGACTTGGAAGGAAATTTTGAGAAATGTTTAGAGTTAAAATTGCAGAATTTTCTGATGGGTAGAAAAAGGAGGAAATAACCATGCCTTCTGATCTAATCTAATTTAGTTATGTTGCTAGGCAGAGTTTGTTTTATTTTTTGTCTGCAATGACCCTCCCCACCTCCACCAACATTGCCCTGAAAGGGATAGCACTGATAAGTAGAAAATTAACAAAAGTATTGCAAGATGGTGGAGTATTTGTTTGTTTATTTTGAAGTACTGAGGATTGAATCCAGGACCTTGCATATGCTAGGCAAGTGTTATACCATTGAGTTGTTTCTCACCCTGGAGTTTGTGCTTAAATTTGATTTGTGTATCCTAATGATAGTTTTGTTTGTAATAATGATCCTTGATTATTGATATTTATATCTCCTTGAACATTTTCTAGTGCTGTCATTGAACACACCAATCGTGTCATCTTTCTAGAAGATGATGACGTTGCAGCAGTTGTGGATGGCCGTCTTTCTATCCATCGAATTAAACGTACTGCAGGAGATCATCCTGCTCGAGCTGTGCAAACCCTCCAAATGGAACTCCAGCAGATCATGAAGGGTGAAAGTTTTTGTCATGTTGTAGCTTGGTGTCCTTAAAAAAAGGAGCTATTCTATTTCTTGTCCTACCAATGAATCTAACGCTATTGCTGAGTGATATCTTCCATATGATTAATGAAGGGACAGTCCCAGGAAAAGAGATGATTCTTTAAAGAAATTATCTGCATTTCTTCCAGTAGTTCTTCAAACTAATTCATAGTTGGTTCTAACATTATGAAAAATAGATTGATTAATAGTGCCTGATATTTTCAAGATATTTTATATCTCTTCTGTTTTATATGTGTTCTTTTTCTCATTCTTTTTGTATTCTCCTCATGCTTCAGTTTTTTCATATATAAAATGGTTTTCATAGAACCTACCTCATTAAGGTTGTTTTGAGTACTAAGGGAGTTTAATACACTTCAGAATAGTGCCAGACACACTTAGTGAATCCTGAATAATGTTTGTTGTTGGTAGCTATTGTGATAATTATGGTTTTTATTTTTATTCTCCTTTCTGATTGAATTGTGGGAATAAAAGTCAACACTTATTGCATAACTGCTATATGTCATATTCTTTGCTATATTAATCTGTACCACATGTACACAATGCAGTAACTGCTGTTCTTATTTTACAGATTAAGGAATTTCCCCAGTTAAGATAGTAAAGGATAAAACCATGACTTGAACCTAGACCTAGACTGACTCTAAAAATTAGGCTTATATTATTTCCCTTTTTTTGCTCTAACTGTATATCTTAGGTATGAAGTAAATAAAGACTTTTCTTACTTGTTCATTTTTTCTCACATAGTGTAAAATATATGCCTTCAGTCCATTAGGCAGTCATGTGTGAATACTGTTTTTATTTAGCAAGATTATGTTAAAGGAGACAGTTGGGTACAAATTTCTTTTTATTGGGCTTATTAATTTTTGTTTTACCTTATATAATTTCTATGACTTAGGCAACTTCAGTTCATTTATGCAAAAGGAAATTTTTGAGCAGCCAGAGTCTGTTGTGAACACGATGAGAGGAAGAGTCAACTTTGATGACTATACTGGTAATGACATAAGCCATTATTGTATTAAAGTCTCTTGTATGTGTTGGGGGGGGGGTGCCATTAGTCATCTGAATATTTATTGTCCTTTGTAGCCTTGGGAAACAACTGTGGCCTCCAGCCATCATGGATGGTTAATCCTTTAGTGTATGAGACTACTTATATGAGGTATCTAGAATAGTAAGATTCATAAGGATAAAAGTAGATTAATGGTTGCCAGGTGCTGGGGAAAGGGTTATTGTTTAAAGTGGGTAGAGTTTCAGTTTGGTATGGTGAAAAGCTTCTGGAGATGGACGATAGTGATAATTATGCAACAATGACTGTAGTTGGTGCTACTTATTTTTTGCTTTAAAATAGTTAAAATGGCAAAGTTTATGTAATGGGAACCTGCTGTGACTGTCAAGGACAGTTCTGGACACTATCCTTGGCACTGAATTCTAAGAACAATATCTGGTCCACCTACTGGGAAGCTTACATGTATCTACCCAGGCTAGATTTTCTCTTTCCAGTTATAAATAAATAAAGATGTAAACTTCCCCAGGGATCTCAGGTAATTCTGATGCCATGTGGTCTAACCTGTACATGTTTAAGGTAGAGGTCAGAGTTCAACATTAGTTTTGTTTGTGGAAATTCTCTTTAGACCATGTATAACAGACACATATGTCTTTGGCCATAGACGATCAGTCTCAAACTCCTCTTATAGATTTGAGTGAATAGGAAAGTGATATCTGATACAGTCTTGACCTTGAGGTATACTAATAATCTAGGGGTGGGGATGAATATATAATTAACTATTTAAATTAAGGCAAAATATGATAGTTGACATTAGAAACTCATTTTAATGTTCAAATGCTTTAAGTTTAATGTTGAATTTAGGGAGGTAGAGAATGAGTCTGTGGAAAGGGGCTTTGGGATCAAGGAAGGCTTCACAAAGTAGAAACGTGTGGGTTTTCAAGAATTTGGAAGGTTCTATAAGAGAAGATCTGTTGGGGATGTAGGTTGTGTAGAAGAGCATTAGCTAAGGGGAACTAGTGAAAAAAGAATGAGGAAGATATTTATGAAATAGTTTGTAGTCTAGTTTGTCTCCTGGACCTAGTACTTGAAGAGGAGTAAAAAGAAGTCTAGGAAGGAAGGGGAGAGGAACTTCTGTGAGGGCCTTGAATGCATTCTAATGTGGGGACTTGCTGGGGTACCTCTTTTTATAGAAGTTACAGAATTGTCATAGATGAGGAGCCAATGTTGGTGCTCACTATGCTTTCCTGAAGTGGCTGGGTATCACTCTCCACTGTCCCCTGGAGGAGTGAGATGCTGAAATGCAGTTGTCAGCATATTGTTCTGTCTGGGGTACAGGGAAAGGAGAGGGAGGTGGGGACCTCAAGAGAAATAGGACCTACATTTAGCTGTGTGAAGGAAGGGGTTGTCAAAGATGGTTGAGTTGAAAGAACTGGGAGAGTAGTAGTAAATACCACTGTGGTATTTTTGAAATTAAGATCAGGAAAGAAGATAAAATAAACTGTGAGAAGTGTATTGTCCTCTCTACCCCCTGATCCCAGGCCTTGAACATGCTAAGCACATGCTGTAATGCTGAGCTCTAGCCTCAGCCCTTAGAAGTTCATGGCTTTTAAAAGCTCTATTATCTCTATTAATGTACATAAAAGTTCTATAATAAAAACAAGATACCTGCAGTCTTAGTTATTAAGATGAGGAGATCAAGGCCTTGTCAGTTTAAATATCTTCGCCCAAGGTTACATTTCTCAGCATTCATGGAGCATTCATGTGTTCAGTGTAGTTCCCTAGTGCTCTGCAGCCTCACCCCTGACCACTAGGCCTAGTTATGGCCTACGTTATCAGAATTAGACTTCTTCAAAAGCATCAGCAATTTGGACCTTGGGGAACTCCTTCCAGAACTATCCTAAGCCCTCTTAACTATGAGGGAATTTGCTAGGACTGATTTTAAGGAAACATGATGGCCAGTCAATTTCATCATTTTACCTCCTTGTCATTCTTGGTCGCCACCTACACTACAGTCTCTGCTTTTATACTAATTCTTCTGATTTGTCGTTGCATACCCTGATCCAATCTTGAACTATTGTTTCCTTTCTTCCCAAACCTTTGCAGTGCATGCTAGGGTCTGTGGAAAAAACTTTAGGTACAGTTAATTTGAACAGGCTTGGCCTAGTGCAGCCATAGTGAGTAGGCTAGTCTGCCTACCAGGGCCTGGATGAGGGGAAGTGCTAGAGATAAAGTCAGATCAAAGTAGGTTATATGCCAGGGGGCGGGGGGGGGGGGGGCTTGAAAGCCACAAGGAGTATGGATTATATTCTAAGTTACTTGGGAAGCCAGTGATACTTTTTGTTGCTTTATTTTTTACTTCACTGACTTCTTTTCATAGAAGAGTACAATACCCTCTGTTATTATTGAAATTTAAAAAGGAGAATATAAAATCATTAAAAATAACACCAAAAGTAAAACATGTACCTTAGTTTGTTAGTATAAGTAAGGTGGAAAAAAGCGTGGGGAAATAAAGAGAGCAGGTTTAGGGCATGACAGCACAGGAGAATGATGCTCATGAGGATGTACATGTTTTCCTCTTCAGCCAGGATCTGAATTGTGTGAGTCTAGAGCTCTGCTAGCCACTCAGGGCCTTGACCAGGATATTCATGTGGTGGGTGCTTAGAGGTATGGGTTGAATAATCAAATGAATGTCAAATGAGAATTTCTCCCAGGTAGAATACTAGTCTGTGTAGAAGGATCTATAGAGAAGACAAATGAAGAACAACACACCAGTAACTATAGAGACAGAAAAAGAAACAGAGGACAGACTTCATTAGAAGGTTTCAAGATCAGATTTATGTTTTTAAAGGATCTTATTTTGGCTGTGTGTGGAGGGCAGATTCCAGGAAGTCAAGAATACAAGAGTGAGTCAGGGAAATGTTTTTTTCTAGGGGAGATGGTGGTACTGGGGGATTGCAGTACAGGGACTGTTGAAGGTGGACATAGGGGAGGGTAGGACCAATCAGGATAATGCTGACATGGAGCAGTTAAGTGGTTGTCAGTGGCATTTACTGAGATAGCAAAGGCTGAGACTCAGTAGGTTTATTTTATATACTGAGCACTATTCTGGGCAGAGGGCAGTGGAAATAAACATAATAAAGATAATTTTTTCCAGATAGGTTTATAAAAGGATAATAAAATTCACATTCTTAGTATAAAATTCTTTTTTGTTGTTGTTGTTTGTTTTTTGGTGCTGGGGATTGAACCCAGGGCCTTATGCATGCAAGGCAAGCACTCTATCAACTGAACTATATCCCCAGCCCTAAATTTCTGTTTTTAAATTTTGTTTTGAGATGGAATCTCAAATGCTACCCAAGTTGGGCTTGAGCTACAGGGCTCTAGTGATCCTCCTGCCTCAGCTTCCTGATAATATTCTGAGTTTTGATAAACCTCTGCAGAACAGTCATAATCCTGACTTCTGTAAAGTCAAGATGTGGAACATTTCCATCACTCCATAAATTTCTGTGTCCTTTATTATCAGCTTCTCCCTACCTCCAGTCTTCAGCTTCTTCCTATCTGTTGTTTATGTCCCTTTGCCTCTAAGATAACTTTTACTTCAAAGGGAAAAATGTAAAAATGACTAAACAAATTAGAATGTAAGTTCTGTGATTGCATGCCCTTGGACCAGGGTGGTAGGTATAGTTAGTTACAAGTTTGGGGGACAATTAAGTTATGACCTATTAATTTCCTTTTTGTAACTATGGAGAACTATGCTCCCTAAAAGGAATATGAATTCTTTGAAACAGCAGTGTTATTTCTCATATCGTAGTAGACACTTATGAAAGGTCACTTCATGTGGTTTTTCCTAAATAATTGTGTTCTCAAACTTTTATTTCAGTGAATTTGGGTGGTTTGAAGGATCACATTAAGGAGATACAGAGGTGTCGGCGTTTGATTCTTATTGCTTGTGGAACAAGTTACCATGCTGGTGTAGCAGTAAGTGACCTTTTAAAATTCTCATTATGTTATTTTAGATATAAGAGGATATCTGAAGACCAGCAGTGCCTCTACTAACACCTTGTAAAACTCTTGTTCAGATGTGTTACTTTTTCATGACAAATTTCAGGAAAATTTAGGGGATTTTAAAAGTTGGTCGAATTATTTATCAATGGAAGATTTGCTGTAGACAGGTCTTTAGATAACAGAGGGACTACCTGAAGCTGACTTCATGAAGGACCAAGAGGGATGAGTTTGTTCACCATTCCAGGCTTGTAGCCTTGGGAGTATGTCTACTTATATGAGAGCAGTCATTTGGTTTTACTTAGCATTGCTCAATTGCCCCAGACAGGTGACTAGTAATGTGTCAACATCAGCAGGAGTTTACTCCATAGGCCATTACTGTCAAGAAAGGAAGTCTGCTTTTGGTCAGACTTTGTTCTTTAAATTGATATTTTAGAAGCTGAAGTTCTGTATTAAAGATGTTTATTAGCTTTCAGTATAGGAATTATAGAATGTGATGGTCTTTTAGTCCAGTAAATCAGATCTACATGTAGATTCTTCATAAATGAGCCAGATTATGTACTGCTTATCTAAAGAGGATTTTTACATTCAATTTCTGCTTTTAGGATTGATTCCCCAAATTCATGACATAGTAATTTTTTAAAAAAAAATTTTTTTCTTCGTTGTAGATGGACACAGTACATTTACTTTATTTATTTTTATGTGGTGCTGAGGATCAAACCCAGTGCCTCACACATGCCAGTCAAGCACTCTATGACTGAGCCACAACCCCAGCCCGACATAGTAATTTTTACTTGCTAGGGCATATATAATTTGTATCTTAAATTAGTGAAACCATCTGATCTCCAGCTGTTACATCCCCAAAAACCCCCCAAAATTTATTTGTTCCAAAAAGGAAAGGCTATGCAATATTGAAGGGAAGAGGTCTGGAGTGATTGAGTATGAGAAGAGGAATGAGTTAAAAATATTAGTGTAAATTAAAGAAGGGATGGGCTAACTTACTGGTGCTTTTGGTCATCTACTGCTCTCAATTGGGGACAGAAATGATACACTGTTAGAAATTCTTGTATCATCTCTAAGTATGATATATAATGCAAGGTTTTTTGTGGATGTCAAGATTACTATAGTTGATGGACATTAGAGATCCCCTCTATGGTTTGTCATACAAAATAGTGCCATTTTCCCCCATTAATTTGAATTGTACATGTTTGTTTTTTTGGTGGGTCAAATGTACATGACACATTTTGTATGAATGCTTTTTATGTCCTGTGTATCCTGAACAATAACAACTTACTACACTTAAATCATTCTAAGTATAGCATGCTTTTCAAAATTTTGGTTTTTTTAATATGTGTATTGTGTTTTTTAATATGTGTATTGCTCTGAAGAATTTAATTCCAATGTAATACTTATATTGTAAAGTGGGGGGAAAGTTGGATTTACATTTAAAGGGGAAATGTAGCATGTAGCATTTTTTTTTTTTTTTGTAGTTGTTGATACACAGCATGCTTTTATTTTGTTTATTTTTATGTGGTGCTGAGGATCAAACCCAATGCCTCACCAAGATTGAACCTAGTGCAAGGGAAGTGCTCTGCCACTGAGCTATAGCCCCAGTCCTCTTTTTTGCTTTATTTTTTAAAATTTAATAAAATTTGTTCTAAGTAGTTGTGCATGACAGTAAAATGCATTTTGACACATCATACATAAATGGAGTATAACTTCTTATTTTGGTTGTACATGATGTAGAGCTACACAGGTCATGTAATCATATTATGCATATAGGATAATAATGTCCAATTAATTCTATCATTCTTACCCCCATATCCCTTCCCCTCCTTTCACTCCCCTCTGTCTAATCAAAAGTACCTCTATTCTTATATAGACCCCCACCCTCCTCCCCAATTGTGAATTAGCATCTGCATGTCAAAGAGAACATTCAGCCTTTGGTTCTTTGGGATTGGTTTATTTTGCTTAGTATAATATCCTCCCATTCCATCCATTTACTGGCAAATGCCAAAAATTTCATTCTTTTTTAAGGCTGAGTAATATTCCATTGTGTATATATGCTACAATTTCTTTATCCACTCATCTGTTGAAAGTTCCCTAGCTTAGCTATTGTGAATTGAGCTGCTATAAACATTGATGTGGCCACATCACTGTAGTATGCCGATTTTTAAGGCCTTTGGGTATGAACCTAGGAATGGAATAACTAACTGGGTCAAATGGTGGATCCATTCTAAGTTTTCTAAGGGATCTCCATACTGCTTTCCAGAGTGTTTGCAACAATTTGCAGTCCTACCAGCAATGTATGAGTATATCTTTTCCCCCCATCTTCACCAACACATATTATTGCTTGTATTCTTGATAATTGCCATTCTGACAGGCGTGAGATGAAATCTTAGTTTTGATATGCATTTCTCTAATTGCTAGAGATGTTGAACATTTTTTCATATATTTGTTGATCCATTGTGTATCTTCTGGGAAGTATCTGCTCATTTCTCTAGCCCATTTATTGATTGGGTTATTTGATTTTTTTTTGGTGTTAAGTTTTTAAAAATTATTTATATATCCTAGAGGTTAGTGCTCTATTTGAAGCATATGTAGTAAAGATTTTCTCCCATTCTGTTGACTTGCTCTTCATGTTATTGTTTCCTTTGCTATGAAGAAGCTTTTTAGTTTGAATCTATCCCATTTATTGATTCCTGATTTTGTTTCTTATGCTTTAGGAGTCTTGTCAAGGAAGTCAGTTTTCCATATAGATTTCCAGTTTTCCCAGCACCATTTGTTGAAGAGGCTGTCTTTTCTCCAATGTATGTTTTTTGCGCCTTTGTCTAGTATGAGATAACTGTATTTATGTGTGCCGCAGTCTGGCTGGGCACAATTCAGGAGCCACTTATCAAACAGAAACGAACTTTATTTTTAGAACACACAGGCCACACCACAGGAGCTCTTCAGGAATTCCCTCAGAGCCCAACTGCCACCACCGGCTTCCCACAAGCCTCTCAACCCCCCCCCCCTCCTGCTCTTGCAGCCGATTGGCTGGGTCGCATGGGCGGAGCCAAAAAAGTCCCCCAATGAGCAGCTCCGTGGTCTGAAAGGGCGGGGAAACAGCCCAATGAGCATCACTGCAGAGGAGCCAATCAGCTGGCAGCTAGAAGTTTGCTGGGGCTGCTGTGAGCCAATCATCAGGGGGCAGCTGGAAGTTTGCTGGGGCCCCTTCGGCTGTGGCTCTCAACATCTCCCCCTCTCTGTTTAAACAACAAGCATGTGGCTTAGGGACCGTGCCTGCCTTAGATTGTCCAATATTACATATGGTTCTTACGCGTCATCGGATGAGCTGACCTCAAGGCATCAGCCTCCTGACTTAGGTTGGTACCATTGCAATTGGATCTTACCCATCATTGACTACCGGTCCAGCATACAGCCACACCTGTGGATAGGTCTTTGTACCAGCAGGGGGGTGAGGTTCTTTTCCTCACCTCTGTTGGCCCCCAAATTTTAGCTGAACGACCATCACAAGCAGAAGGAAAGAGGATACACCAAGCCAATTGACGGCTCCTTTTGGAAAAATTGTACCACCGATGACACCATCAGCAAAAATACCCCAACACTACCACAAGTCGCTGCACCAACAGATAGTTCACAATGCATACAAGTGATACATAGTCCAGGCAAGTTCTGCAAGCAGTTCAGTGATAGCTATTGTAGAAGCTGTAGATTGGTTTTATCTTTGTCTTCACCGGCCCTGGGATGAAGATAGGAATTCTGGCAATGATGGCTAAAGAAAAAATTATGTAACATTCCAGAAGGCACTAAAGAAAAGTTTGCTGGGGCCCCTTCGGCTGTGGCTCTCAACATATGTGGGTTTGTCTCTGTGTCCTTTATTCTGTACCATTGGTCTACATATCTATTTTGGTGCCAATACCATGCTGTTTTTGTTACTATAGCTTTATAATGTAGTATAAAGTCTGATGTTGTAATGCCTCTTGCTTCACTCTTCTTGCTAAGGATTGCTTTGGCTATTCTGGGTCTCTTATTTTTCCAGATGAATTTCATGATTGCTTTTCCTATATCTATGAGGGATGTCATTGGTATTTTTATTGGAATTGCATTAAAATTGTATAGTGCTTTTGGTAGTACGGTCATTTTGACAATATTAATTCAGGAACAAGGTAGATCTTTCCATCTTCTAAGGTCTTCTTTAATTTCCTTCTTTAGTTTTCATTGTAGAGGTCTTTCATTTCTTTTGTTAGGTTGATTCCCAAGTATTTTTTTTCCCTGAGGCTACTGTAAATGGGGTAGTTTTCCTAATTTCTCTTTCAGAGGATTCATCAGTAATGTACAGAAATGCATTTGATTTATGGGTATTGATTTCATATCCTGTTACTTTGCTGAATTTTTTGGTTCTAGATGTTTTCTCGTGGAATTTTTTGGATCCTCTAAGTGTAGAATCATGTCATTGGCAAACAGTGATAGTTTGAGTTCTTCTTTTCCTATTCGTATCTCTTTAATTTTTTTCATCTGTCTAATCGCTCTGGCTAGAGTTTCAAGGATTATGTTGAATAGAAGTGGTGAAAGAGGGCATCCCTGTCTTGTTCCAGTTTTTAGAGGAGATGCTTTCAGTTTTTCTCCATTTAAGAATGATGTTGGCCTTGGGCTTAGCATAGATATAGCTTTTACAACGTTGAGATATGTTTCTAATATCCCTAGTTGTTCTAGGTTTTGAACATGAAGGGGTGCTGTATTTTGTCGAATGCTTTCTCTACATCTATTGGGATGATTGTATGATTCTTATCTTTAAGTCTATTGATGTGATGAATTACATTTATTGATTTTCATATGTTGAACCAACCTTGCATCCCTGGAATGAACCCCACTTGATTGTGGTGCAATATCTTTTTTTTTTGCTGGTGCTGGGAATTGAACCCAGGAACTTGTGCATGCTAGGCAAGTACTGTATCAACTGAGCTATTTCC